TTTCTATTATAGATTTTATCAAAATATATAGCGGAATATTTCTAATACTATATATATAATAGATTCTTTAAATTCTATTTTCGAAAGTCTTTTATTTTTAAGATAATACATGTTTAATTGATTATAGATTTTCTTCTAATTAAATATTATTTTTTGGCACGATCGTAATATAATTTAATTAAGTCATTCTTTGAGAAAAATAAAAAAATCCTCATTTGAGAAAATATATATTCGAATTTCTTTTTTTGATATTTGCTTCATTATTATAAAAAAGATATGAGCTTCGTATATCTTCTATTACGAAATTTTCATAGACTCCACTTTCATTCAAAGACCTATTTTGAAATATCAATTTATATATTTCATATATATAAGCTTTAATATCGAATTAAATAGAGAAATAATACGAAATAATTTCCCAATTATTCTATTAGGAAAAAAATTCTCTTCGCCACGAATTTAAATAATTATCGTAATACCTTAGATTTTTTAAAATCTAAATATCCTATTCTCTAAAATCAAAAATCTCGAAAATTAGTGAAATTAAAGATAAAAATGCCACATTTATATTTTATGAAATTAAAAATCAAGTAGAATATTTATATATTCTTTTATTATCTCTTTTATAATAATTCTACATATAAATATTTATAAAGAATCTATAATCTTTTCTCCTTCAAATATCATCATTTATTCAGAAATATATTGAAATTTATGATTTTTCCTAAAATCCGTTACGCATGCCATTCAGACAGGGTTTGACTTCCGGACAAAACCTACAGCAAACCCTGAGCGAGCTCCTTTTTATCACGGTTGGCAAAACAGAAAACGTCCTCGGCAGCCCTAAGGACGGACAGAACTACCTGATCTACGGGCGGTGCGGCAAGGACAGAATTCTGATGCCTGAAAATCCGACGGACGGAGATTCGAGGCAAGTAGAATCCCCATGCAGGGTAACCACCAACTCGACCAGGATCAAGTCCAAGGGATCACTAGGAGCGGGCGGACAGAAAAGACTCGACCGGGACCAAGACCAATGGGTCCCCGGGAGCAGACGAAACGGCTCGACCCGGACCAAGATCAAGGGATCACGGGGAGATAATGCAGGCAGAACTCGACCCGGACCAAAACCAGAGGATCACGGGGAAACAGGCGGGAAATGCAAGCTCAACCAGGACTAAGTCCAGTGGATCATTGGGAGCGCACAGGCAGAAAGAGAACGACAGGCGGAGACAGGGGAAGGACGGTGGGAATCCCAAAATTGCCTATGCTCCGCCTGTGAGCAAGGATGCTGCGGACAATACGCAGCTTCCTTGCCGTTGCGATTAAGGACAAATACTTAGGATCAAGTTCTATATCGTTCGTCCAAAACTAGTCCGTTACGCATGCCATTCAGATAGGATTTGACTTCCGGACAGAACTTATAGCAAATCCTGAGCGAGCTCCTTTTTGTCACGGTTGGCAAATAGAAAACGTCCTCGGCAGCTAAGGACGGACAGAACTACCTGACCTATGGGCAATGCGGCAAGGACAGAATTCTGATGCCTGAAAATCCAATTCCATTGAGCCAGAGCTCTGACCCATAGGGGAACGGGCCATCAGAATTTGAGCTCTGATCAGATAGAGGCGGCAACGTAATTCTCCATAAGAGATGGCAACGGACAAAATCTGAGGTCAGAAATATCCGGAAAAGAAGTCCAAGGGACAGAGAGAATCTCATTGGGCTGGAATCCGAGCTTGCAGGGCGGAATAGCTATGCATCTACCGCATCGTTAAGAAAATCAGGGACAGAGTCCAGATGCATTGAAATGCGGACAATTTCTTGCAACAGACAGAATTGGCGAAGAAATTGGCGCCGCGTGCCAATGTAAGGCCCTTCGATGCTGCAGACTGCGACGGAGAGTTGTATGTGCGAAAAATGACGTATAAAGGTACGTGCCCAGGCGGTAAAAATCGGGAGAGAATCCAGAGAAGAGCCTCCTGAGCGAGCATCTCCCAGGCGGCTATGCAATCTGTTGGGGAGACGTGCCGGACTGAAATCACGGGATCATGTCGGACAACAATTCTGCGGACAGGGTCTGGCCAAAATATGCCTGCCTGCCGTCGGGAAGGCGGATATAATCGCCGAGCCCAGCCGAAGAGGAGTCTGCACAAGCGTCGCGGACGGTACAGCAGCGATCGGAAAGGCTGAGGAGAGCTGGCGAAGGCGAGCCATATACGGAAGAACTCCAGAGATTCAGGGGAAAGTTCCCGTTCCGGACGGAGGGGATTGGCGACCTGGACCCAGATACGTCGAGATGAGACGTGCTCAGGGACATCCTTGAGGCTAGTGGCTGGGGCGTGCGCAGCACGGAGCAGCTTGCAGCCCACGGGGAGGGCTGCAAGCGGAAGGGCAGAAGGCGAAGGTCCTCGGACAGGGAGGAGCGGAGAGATGAGTAGATATCAGCAGAAATCACGCATAGAGGGCGATGCTGGTCTGGGTACAGTGGAGCAAGGGACGGCCGGAATGATTGAAATAGGTTGCTGAACCAGAGGAGCTTACCGAATAACTTCTCGAGTGCCGAGACAGTGCAGCGGGGTGAGGCGGACAGCAGCCTCGGCAAGTCAAGCAAACGGCGCAATTTGGAGGGTCTAATTAGATCATAAAGGTCTCGAAATCAAATGACCACCCAATCCAAGTCGCCCGGGCAGAGAGAGCGGCCTTGTGCCAACTCATTGGGACGCGCAGAATGCAAAGGAGAACCACGAGCAGCGCAGATAGAAGAGGCGTAAATGACCGAAGCAAGATAACTCAACGTAAATTTTGCCTAAAAGAAAGACACGCCTCACCCGGTGCGTGAGTCGTACTAGCATACCCACAACCCTATTCCAATAGAAGTCCGAGTCCCTAATACCAAAGTTAAGAGTGACGGACTAATACAAAACGTCGTAATAGCGGAAGCAGAGCAATCCCTGATCATCCGATCGGATGCGGACGCGACGATAAGCCTTAGAAATATCAACCATCACTACGGCCAGCGACTCATTGGCCGGGCAGAGAAGGGAAGGCACTTATAAACGTCGGATAAGGAGAGTTAGAAGCCTCATTAGGGAGGTAAGTATCAAAAATTCGATGATGAAATTTATATCGTTTCAATGCAATCATCAATTTCATAATAAAATTCAAAAATAATTTCAAATTCTATCTTTTTCCTGAAAAAATATGAAAAAAAATACATCTGAAATATATTTCAACTTTATTCAATGAAATAGAAATTTCATATTTTCTGAATATTTATATTATATTAGATATGAAATGTTGTTTGTAGCAGCGTAATATCTTTATTTGAGAAAGCCGGAATGCACTAATATATAAGATCGTATGTGAAGCCCGATGCATTATCAATAGACGGCACGTGATATGCTGAAAGATTTTGGGTTTTAGATCTCTGCCCCGGCTCTCCACGTTCCACCGAGCCGCCGCGCACACAGCCAAAGAGGAATAATTCGAAATCTTGGGAAATTTTTAGTCACGCAGCATTTTGCTCTCGGGGCCCCGCATCCGACCCGGTCCTTCTGCCTCATTTATCTCTCTTGGGCTATCTGCGCGGCAGCTCGGGGAGCGCATATAGCCCCGTGAACAGACACGGCCAATCTGTTGGTTCTCCGCCCCGGGTTTATGTGCTCCGCCCAGCAGCCGCGCAGACAGCCAAAGAGAGATAAATCACCGCGGAAGACCGCTCCGGAGGCAAGGGACGCGTGACCAAAAATCTCCGAGATTTTTGGTGTCGCCACCCGCACCACAAATCTCGGAGAGTTTAGAGTCTCTAGCTTCTCCGAAGGGCTCTAAAATCTCCGAGATTGTAGAGCCCCTTGGGAGCCCGCAGGAAGCATTTTAAAGGTGAGCCGGAAAACCTAGGCCGCGCGCGAGCAAAATGACTGCAAGTGGCCGCGCCGCAATATTGAGGTATATGATGAATTCAATCTGTTCTAACGAAATCTGAAGAAAAGAAAAATGCGTAATTCAAAGTGCCCTAATTGCATATCCGGACCAAAACCATTGATCCCCCGTACCAGGAGCGTCCATCTCAATGGGACGGCCACGCCACTGTTGGGGTTGCTGGTGTATCGATGGCGATTGAAAGAACAACAAATAGGAGGAGGAGAAGGGGAGTGAGCGCATATCAAAGCGTGGAGGTGCCACGTACAACTGTTGAAGCCACGCCACTTGCATGCGGGATGCTTGTAGCGCGCTGTTCCAAGCTGCCTCAAGATGTCGGAGCGTTGTTGAAACAGAGAGCTTGATCCTACCTCGGATTCAGCAGTTGAAATGCTTGAATATAAGGAAAGTATTCGTGAAAATCGCACACTTCAATCTGGCTTGCTCTTCTTGGCCTTGCAAATATCAGCATGCACAAAACCTGGAATCCAGATGCACTTGCAGCACTTGCGTAATGCCATAGAACGACAGCGAAAACTTAGCGAAATCTGTCAGCAGTTTGCTGTAATCCGGAAATCTCCGGAAAACGAGCATACTTACACATACGTAAAGAGCCATCAACAAGTACGAATACTGCATTAAAAGATCTTGCAATCTTCGTGAATCAAGAGCCGCGTCTGGTCCTACGGCACTCAGAGCAGCCCACACTGAGCCAGCCGCCTGACAAGGCACACTGCTCACATTGCCTAACCATACTCTAAGTACAAAGTCGTGAAATCATGCATCATCCATCAACATACTGTTGATGGAGGAAATCTTGCACCACCTTAAGTCCCTAAAAACCTAGGAATTACAGTACTTTAGGGCCCTAGGTGGTGCAGGCTTTCATCCATCAAAAGTAGTACAGCCACTGCAGCATGATCTTTTTGTTTGCAACAAGACAATCAGTGCGAGTGAGACTGGATCTGGAGGTCTGTTTCAACCCCGTGAGGCCAGAAGCGCATGCATATGTGACCACGTGCAGACTAGACAAGATGATGCCAAACACTGAATGCAGCAGGCAGCATCGCCGACGGGCTGCTCACTTCGAGTCGTGGCTCTTGAGGAACGACTCCAAATGCTGCTGCTGATGCCTCAGATCGCTCACGACACTCACATGTTGTTCTGGTCAAGAAGGAACGCACACATGCGAATCTTCATGCTTGCTGATGCCAGGCACTTGAGGAAGTCGATTTCTTCCTTCCGCTTGCGCTCATCCACAGCTCGACGTTCCGCTTCGCGGCGTTCAATGGCTTCGCACTTGTTCTTGAGCTCGACAACACGGGCCTGACAATTTGGCTATGTCCCAACCTGTCCATCTTCTACCTCTGGAAGCTGCCAGCCTCTCGCTGCTTCTTCTGCTCTTCATGCTCTGCAATCATTTGCTCAGTCTCTGCCTTGCCCTGCTCGGACTGTAACTGCTTGCGTGTACCAAAAGTCACACCTAAGCAAGCGAAGGGATTTTCATAGGCAGCGCAGTCTGCAATTGCTTCGGAATCTCAGCCACTGGCTGCTCTGGTACAACGTCTGGTAAGCTGCAATGGACATTCGAATCTCGTCTCTGACGCGCAGCAACAAGAGTCCGCGCTCAGGGCAATTGATGGTCACCTTGCATGAACGATCTGGTGCATGGGAGAAGCAACTTCAATTCTTCGAGCCTGGCGGATCAGCTCATCAAAGCACTGAGAATAAAGTTCCTCCCGAACTGGGCAAATGCCAGTCTCACGGGCCTGAAAAACGCCCAAAGCAATGGGAACGCGATTTCGGTCCCTGACAGCTTTAAGCAGCTCGAAGCCAGCCTGGCGCTCCATAAGCCGCTGATCCAAAGCCTCTTGCAGCTGGATGACGTCCAAACGCGTAGCCGGCTGATTGCTTACCTGGCACAACTTCAAAGCAATCCATAGTAATCATGTGTACTCGTATGACGAGCCCGCCAGTTTTGGGGTTACGCTCTTCGCGAGCACAAGCTGACATCAGCGGCCAAGCCGCATACTGCTGGTAGTGCTTGCCGTCCTCAATCCACTCGCCTTGACATGCGCACGCTCCTAGAAGAGATTCACAACTTTATCGCAAATGCAGCTGAAACACGAGGTGGCAGCAGCGCGTGCCTCTCGTCTCATTCCAGGACAATAAGAGGTTGTGTATGCAAACACCCAACTGCAGGCAAACGGCAGAACATCGTCTGTATTGGGCTTGGACTCCGCTGGTGGTAGCTGCGTCTTCCGCGCAAGTTGAGCCTCAATTGATGCTTGAGCTGAAGCCCGAGCATTGACGGCATGGCTTTCTGACCGGCCTTTAGCGAGTTGGGCTTCGGAGGCTTGTTGCCCTTGCGGCCAACGGCATCAGAAGGCGCGGGGCCCAGCTCCAACGGTGGATCGTACTTGACCTTGTGACATTTTCCTGGACTTCCTTCCTAGCCACCATTTGCGCAAAAAGCACTGCAAAAAAAATCTTAGCCAAGAACCAAGGACTCACGGGGTCTGCCCACTGGAATCGACATTGCAATGTCGCACGAGGTCCAGGCTTCTCAAGAACTTCCCCTCAACATAGTTGAGCCCCATGCCAGTCCAGTCAGACAGGCTGTGCAATATAGAATCAGAAGCAATCAACACATGTCTCACATCTTTTACGAGTGTACCGTCTTTTAGGCCTCATGCGCCAAAGCATGGTGCTGCAAGATCTTGGTGAGGCCACCTGCGACAATGACCAGGACCAATGACAAAAAAATGGATTGATTGCGCTGTTCACGGAAACCGTTTTGCTGGCTTTGGGATGGATCGCCCCGTTATCTTGCGCGGGGCAGTTCGTTGAGATTGGCTTGCTATCGTGCATCTCTACGCAAACCTGCGCCATGCAGCCCTACAACTTTTTGCGGGCACGACATTTTGTGGAATTTGTTTGGAAGTCTTTGGATGTCATGAATGCAAGCTGAGGCGATCGGAACCTGAGAAAATTCGAAGGGGTTAGCCGAAGTGCTTAGCATGTGAGGAGCCAAGGTTCAGAGGGGACCCAGCGTTTGAGAGTGTAGGAGTCGGAGTGTGCGGTTGGGATTTCGGCTTTAGGGTTGAGGGTCTTACGGTTTAGGGTTGAGGATTCAGGAGGGGGTTCAGGGTTCAAAGCGTAGGGGTATGTTGAAGGTCTTAGGGTTGGGGGTCTTAGGGTGTCGGGTTTTAGGATGGAAGGTTTAGGTATTGGGTCTTTTAAGGACTCGGGTCTTTGGGTTTGTAGGTCAGGGTTTTAAGGTTCAGGGTCTTAAAGGTTAAGGTTTTTGTGCAAAGTTTAAGTAAGGGGTACATTTTTTGCTAATACGGGCGCGCATGCTTCGAGTGCGCATTGGCGCATGCCCCGAGGATCTCAAAGCTCTTGATATTTGATGATAAACTGCGTTGTGGTCAGTTCCGGTGCTGGTCCCAATATTCCTTGTAGAATCTGAAGCTGGTTATCTCAATCCAAGTAGCTTACTGCCTCTTCGTCTACCCATGGCCTGTTTTCTATCCTTAAAACCCGGACTGAAAACTACATGGTGCATGAGGTCTTGGTCATCGGCGAGAAATACAGTTCGGAGTAGTTTGGACTGGGCATTGTTGAGGGAATGCGGACGGCTTGCCGGGATATCTGGCTGCTTTCCAAACTTCTTTGTTAGTAATTTAGGAATCTATAGTAAAAAGCATCAATTCTCTTGAGATGCTCATCTTGAAGGGTCAAAGAATCCAATCCGTAGATGAGGGTGGATAAATGAAGGTGTTCATTAGGCTTCAGGAATTGAGCCTTTTCAACCTTGGGAGGGTTTGGGATTTGGGGCTTAAGATTTTGGAGCTAGGCTTTGGATCCGGTGTTAGGTCCGGGCTTATCGGGTTTAGAGGGTTTGGGCTCTAAGCTTTGGGGGGGTTAGAGTTGAGAAGTTAAGGTTGAGAGTTCACGGGTGATTTAGGGCTCAGGCTTTCGGGTGTAGAGTCCTACGGTTTAGGGATTAATGTGTACAAGTAAGGGTTGAGGGTTAAGAGGTTTTTCCAGGTGTAGGTGTTAGGGTCCTTGGCTAAAGGTTTTTTGGGTTCCAGTGTAGGGCTTCGGATCCAGGATCTGGGATCAAGGGTCTGAGGGTTTAGGTTTAGAAGTTAGGTCTTACTGGTTTGGAGTGAAGGTGATTTAGGTTTCAGTTTTTTCGAGTTTTGCTTTAGGGTCCTAGAGGTCATCCTTTACTAGTTAGGGTCTTAGAATTCAAGGGGGTGATTGAGAGTTCCGGTTCAGGGGGTACCTACCCAGGCTTGGCCATGTAGCCCTATGGCTTGGGAGTTCGGGTTTAGGCCTTCCTGTTTAAGGTCTTACACTGTAGCGCTAAGAATCCAAAAACATTGATGCTTGTACTCGTGCTTGTGATGGTGGTGGGGTGGTGGTGGTAGTGGTGGTGGCGGCGGCAGTGGTGGTACAAGAAGTAGGGGTAGCAGTAGCAGGACCAGAAAATGTAGTGATAGTACTAGTAAAAATAGCACGTGAAATTGGTAGCAGGAACGTCTGCTAGACTGTGAAAAAGTGAGACAGGAAACTGGGCTCACACACTTGACCACGCACCTAGGAGAACGACTTCAGGATGGTCGAGGGGAGTTGATAAAATCGAGTTTAAAGTTTTGGTATGCTGGGCTTAGCGCGAGGGTTTAGGAATGAGGGACGTAGAAATTGTTTGGCTCTATGGGTTTGCGCTGGGGATTTTCCCCAAGTTGGGCAGTAACTTAGGAGATTGAGGGCGGTATCAAACATTGGGAGCTGACTTTGAGGTTCTTTGGCGTTTGAAACCTCCAAGGTTTCACAACGACTGGGTAAGAATTTGAGGCGTGGCACGGGTTCCAATCCTAGTCCATTCTTTTCATTGCCCAGCAAACGCTTCTCTTCAAATCCCCACACACATTTTCGAAAATTCCCACCCCGATTCTCTTCGATCCCTCACCAATTGCTAGATTTCGTGCTCGTTTTTCTACTTGCTACTCACCGCCAAACCTAAATTCCTAAACTCTACATCTACGATTCCCTAGACATGGGTTCACTTTATCCAGTCTCCAAACACATTTTCTGATATTCCGAACTCATGCTTGAAATCCTTCCGTGGTTGTTTCGAGTTTCTCAAATCCCTGACGAGGATGCGGATGCGAGAAAATGTTGTCAGAGCTTCGGATTGGAGAGTCCAAGCCTTTGGGGCGGAGTTTGAGGACAAAGGGATAAGGAATTTAAGCGGTTAGGGTCCATGGTGAGCTATAGCTTTGGGCTGCAAAGTTTTAGAATTGAGGGTTGGGAATTCGAGAAGAGAAAATCTGAATAATGGCCTGAAAATATTATGTAAGTCGAGATAACTGGAAAGTGATTTCGGGAATGTGAGCAGAGACTGGAAAACTGAGCTGCGATTCGGGAAATTGGATTTCAAGCCAAGCCTTGGATCCTTGGCAAAGGATGGAAGAAAACATGCCTTGAGAAGTAAGGTTTCAGGTACTCAAGTGCAGGCTTCAGACTGGGACGGGAGAACACTCGAAGGATCCAAAACTGAAAAACAAGAACCACTTTACGAAGCAGAAGCAGAACTGCGGCACCACCTGGATCCTGCTGGGCTTCCGCATCGCACCAAAGTTCAGCATCTCCTTTGGGTAAGAAGATATGCCAGTCTATTCCAGGACGCATAAGCCATTGACAATGCTGGGACGATGAACTCGCCTTCATGGTGCGTGGAATATGATCAGCAAACCGAGGAATCAAATGATTCTGCTGAGGCTTGGTCCTGGCCCCGTTGACTGTCTGACCTTGGAACCAGTGACAGGCGTGGGGGCTAGACAGCCGCACAACTCTACAATTGACCATCAGCGTAACACCCAGTTTGACTAACGTGTATCACTGACAGTAACAAATCCTGGTGCTTCAGGCGCGGCACATTGACAGCAAACTCCCTTTTTATGCTGCAGGTTCATGTTGATGATTCAACCTAGAATCAATAGGGGAGGTCAAGCAGTCCTGCAAGGGCTGTACAAGCTTCTCCGGCATCGGCGTCTTTCAGGATGAGGTGGAGGCACGTCAGGGCCCAAACCCATGGGCTGTTCACCATGCTGTACTGACTCCCTTCGCATAAGAAGCTACGCGAGTGATCCCGGCAAGAACTCTGCTGACGGGCACATCCGAAAGCGGTGGGTTCCACAGGCAGCTGGCTTCAAGATTCTCTGTCCCCTTCAAGCGGGGTAGCCAGCAGATGCCTTGCTTGCACAAGAAACAATGGCACAAGATTGTAAGAGACTGTCCTGAGGATATTGAGGCGGAGACCTTTGGCTTCCCCTCCTACAAGCACATCCATGCATCGCTAAACCTGTGAGATAGCATTTTTTCACGCACAAACACACAAAGCATGTAATCCTCGTCCACAGTGGTGTCAATGCTCAATTCAGCCAACCTTGTGCAGCGCCGAAATATTGTTCACAAAGGCTCGAATGCACAGGCATATGCGAAACAAGATGCTGCGCAGAAGTGATGGCCGCAGGTGTATTTATCATTGTATCTCTACCTCGGGCCGCAAATCAAAAATGACAGAAAAACTAAGACACAAGAGCAAACAGCGATGCTACAGCATGCTGAAAATCGGGCCCATGTTGTTCTTCGGGAAAGCAATGAAGTCGCGAATTGTTGCCTGGCAATCTAGCACCAGCAAACTCAGCACCCCTGCACTAACTGCATCCTCGCCTTTCCACCGATGATTGTACAAAGCCTGTCCAAGCCAAAAGCTAGGCCAGCATGAGGAGGAGCTCCTCAACCGAGCCGTCTGTCGCATGCCAAGTGGCTGAATGTCAAATGACCTTAATCACCTGTAAACTGTACATGTCCACCAACACAACTGGCTCGGTCCATAAGGTTTCCATGGGTTTGATCCTCAGAAAACCTAGTGTCGTTGTTCTGCAGTGACCGGCCCAAACCCTGCCAAATCCAGCCAAGGGATAATAGGCTGAGGTGGCCCCGTGTAGCCTTCACATCTGTGAGCCCCGGGGCTGTACCTTCGTGTGCCCCCTGTGCATGCATTTGTGTTTGCAGAATGAACCTCTCGGACGTGTCATGGAACCTTTGCCTTTAAAAAATGGACATAGGATGATATGCACTCAGTCCAGCCAACCTCATTTTCACAGCTAGAAAGTCCTAGCCGACTAAGCCACATGTGCAATTGCATGTTGGTCTGGAGTGATCAAAGCTTGGGATTCAGGATGCATCAGTTCCAATGGTGACAGCGCAGGGCGCGTTTGAATTTGTAGTTTCAAGGTTCTTGTCAAGGTAGATAGAATTTTCCGTTTTTTCATGCCCGCTTACCTCGACTGCTGGCAGCTGCCAGCTAGTGGCCCTCTTCGAGGAGCTCAGTCATTTTTACAATACGCAGTTGCCACAGCTAGATCAACTCAATGAGCCTTTGCCATCCATCAGGACGCCAAGCTGGAAGTCTGAAACTTTCTGGATTGTATCTACTACCACCGCCACCCCTCCTCCTCCTACTACAACAACAACTGCTACTACTCCTACTACGACAACCACACCAACGACCACTATGCCTACTACGACTACAACCCGACAAGCACTACTACCGCTTTTTCACTGCTCTGCTTTTACTGGTGACTCGGCCCCCGCTCTATGCACTTTGTTCTTCCGGCCTCTGGCTTTCGTTGTTTGTTCCCTGCTACTTGCTTTCTGCTTCCTGCTCTCTGCTTCTTGCTTTCTGCTCTATTGGCCTGTTCTTGCTATTAGTGCTCGGCCGAAGCCCAAGGGAAGGAATACCCTCCGTGCACGTGCACGCATGCATGCATGAGTGCTTGCAGGCAGGGCCGAAATACTACTGGTGATTACTAGTGGTTGTAAACATGACACACAGGATGGGGGCAGCTCCGTATTCGAAGGCACCCATCAGAAAGCCAAACTGCGCCAATGCCTGGAGTCAGGCACCAAAACAACATGCAGCGACTTGGAAGCGCAATGTCTGCCTCCTCCTTGCTGAAGCCAAGCACACTGAAAACCTTCTCCTGCAGGGGGCGCTCCTTGGCTTCAAGCATGGATGCCCTGTCTGAGCGAACCATGTAGAAATCGCCGAGCCACATGGATCCTCACAGATCCTCCGCCCACCTTGCTACTGACTCACTCTAAGCAACACAGGTCTATCGGAATTTCTTCAGAAAGGATATCAAAGCAGCCTCAACACCATTGATCACCATGTCATAGGCATTGGCCCGAACCTTTCAAACAGCTGCAATTTGACAAGGCTGCGATCCAACATGTGTGAATTTTGTTGCCTCTGCCAGCTTTGGATCCTTGTGATCAAGGCCTTGGCACTGATGCCGCAGCAGACTCCATGGTTTCTGCACTCTGCAAGTTTCTTGGCAACCAGGCTTGCCATCTTGTCGATGTCCTACACCATTCCCATCATAAATCGCAATCAATAACAACATCATCATCATCATCTTCTTCTTCTTCTTCTGCGGGCTATCCGCATCAAGCGATGCGCTCGGGTTGCACAAAGCCCCCAGCGTCTGTCTTGTTCAAGGTCCGAACGAGGAGGGCTTCTTTCTTTCTTTCTTTTTTTCAGGCTATGGAGAGAGGGTTGGTTCCCTCCCTCCGAGGAGGGCTTCTCTCTTTCTCTCTCCCTGTCTCAACTCTCCATCGCCGTGCCTCTGTCCACGGAGATGTGAAGGGGTGGTGCTTTGCTGTGAATCTCTCCTGCGAGTGGCAGCAGCATGCGACAGCTAGAATGTGGCAGCTCTTACAGGGCAAGTAGCTGCGCACGAAGCTCACAAAAATCTTGCCTCATCTTCATCCCACTCCAGCATCGGGAAGTTCCTGCGCAGCAGTCTCGACTTCACTTCATCTGTGAGGTACAGGAAACTTCGAAGCACTTCTAGCAAGCTCAGGCTCTGTCACGACCCAGAGAGCGCGAAAGCCTTCGCTTCGCAAGCCTGACCATCAAGCGGAGCAAGATGTCATGCCAGCACCAATCCATTGGCCGTTGCCTAGCTCAGTTCCCATGAGGTGCCGGAACTTGCCCATGGACTCCTGCCTTGAGAGGGAACAGCGGGGAACAAGCATCCAAGATTTTCTCACATCCCACTGCTTGCAGGAAAAGCTCGTCTTTAGCTTCGGCCCTGCAAGAAGGCATGCGGCTCAGCGCGATATGGCCTAGTGGAACTACGAACGCTGGGCCTGCAATGATCAGCAGAATATCTCCAGGACCACACCCACCGGGCTTAGCATTGGCCTTCCTGGGCTCGACTCAGAAGGCTTTTGGAAGCTATGACTAGCAGGCTCCACGAAAGGCAACGAATGCCGTCAAGACTCTCAATCCATTTGACGTAATCCTGAAAGAAAGCTGATAGGTCTCTCCATCCCAACTTCACAAAAATGGCACGAAGCTACTGGTAGATTTCTGGTATGGAAAAATTCTTGAAACGACAAAGTGACGCGCTGCTCCTATCATACTCCTACAAGTAGGAGACAAGTCCCTACCTCGTCGTTGAAGAACTTCTTCGCGGAGCAATCATATGTCCCATCGGGGCTAATCTTGAGCCAGACCAATGCCGATGCGCCTGCTCAAAATAGAGCTTAAGAGCAAGAGGTCTCAGGATCCAAAACCGGATGCCTGGCCTACTTCCTGTCCTGTTGCTTTCTTTTCGAGCTCTTTCACTTTCCTGAAGGCGAAGGCTGCAGATCCAAGCAACAAACTGCACTTGCAGATGCTGGCAGGCAAGTTGCTTGCCAGACCATGCTCCGATACCCTGCGGAGGTTCCAGGAACCACATTGACCCCCAGGATACGCATCTAATCACAGCGACCGACAAAACATTCCTCAAAAAAGTCTGCTTTGGACCTTGCAGCACATCCCCAGGACGATCTCCGCATCATCAAACATCTGAGGCACGGCCGAGACGCATGCCGCAGATGCCCTGGAACGTGCTGCCCATGCTGACATCCAGCCTTGAAGTTCTTGCCTTTGCTCACCTTCAAGTTATGGTCTATGAATGACTACTGGCACGTTGGATATGATACTGCAAGAATCATTTGTGAACCGAGCAACATCTGTCAGGTCGACCAACCTCAGCAATGGAGCAGCGCACACGCGCTTAAGGCTGGGGAACTGCACTTTCCACTACACATCCGCAAAAAGATGACCAAGAAGCTCCATGTCATAGCGCAAGTCAGGCTTGTCGATCCCGAACCGGTCCATCGCCTCGTGTTTGATGGGCGTCTCTGTCAGCAAATGGCAGCTACAGCACCACCACACTTCACTGTTGTGGCTTCAGTCCCGCCTCGCTGTACTCCATGCGTTGAAAAGGCGGGAACTCGTGACCTGGAGCGACACAACTCTGCATGAGCTTCCAGGCTTTGAACTTCTCTGGGTAAAATCATAATTGGAACTCGGGATCCCACCGCACAGACCTCAAGGCAAAGACCATGACACAGCAGTTGCACCAAGTCAGCTGCATGCGCGTTTCCTCCTTCTTACCGAAGGCTTGCAAGCTGTGCAGTGCATGCGAGGAGCTTTTGAATATGTGCCGAATCATGCCCTCAAAGATCCGTAGAACATCCTCCTGCAGCACAAGGATTGCAAGCATCTTGGAAAGCAAGCTGCTGCAAATTGCCGAGAAGTGACAAAGCCTGCTGAACGAAGGACATTTCACAGTCCTAAGCTGCAAGACTGGAAAAGCCTGTTTTTTGCTGAGCGCGGCTGCTTTTCCCAACACGCCACCCAAACCAAGCTCTCTTTCCATGAAAAAAGGAATTTGTGCATTGAGCAATACGCCAATGCAAATGATTAAGCTAAAGCACGATCTGCGTGAACTCTGGCTGCCTGTCCGCCCGCAACTCCTGTGCAAAGTATCCAACTGGTTGCCAACACAGCCCACGCCCTGGTCTGCTGCCTCGTCGCGAAAGCACTTCACGATCTGGAAATAGCGATCAAGGCCACCCACCTCTCAGCCGTCAGCCCAAACCTCTAATGACAGAGCCTACATCTCAGCTACTCACCATAAGAAGCTGCTTGAAGGTCTGTGGCGATTGTGGCAAAGCGTAGAACTGCCTTATTGACAGAGGTTGATGTAGAACTCGGGTCTGCGCACAAAGCAGCCTCACTAGCTAGCTCTCCGCCATGTTGCCCAGGGTTCATCCGGGAAGGCACCACAAAGTCACGGGCACCTTCAGGTGTGGACTTGATGAGAACCGGCGTCTCAACTTCCTCAGCACAGATAAACCAGAAAAAAAGCTTCTGACATATCAGCGGTTCCACTTCCCTGACGAAACAAAAGCACAGCACCAGCTGCAGCCAAGAAGCGCAAAAATCACGGTCTCCCAGGTAACTTGGCTTCGTGAAATTCTGAATGCTTTCGGGCAACACACATGTCGTTGTCTGGCTTGCACTCAAGGCACTCTCTCACCAATCGTGTAACTTTGTTGCGAAGGAGAATGGCGTCCTTTATCGGATTCCGTCGAATGTCCAGATATCCTGGGTGCTCTCGGCAACTGGAAGCAACGCTTGAGTACTCACTTGTGAAGTTGCGCTTCAAAGTAGCTAAGTCGAGGCAACGGGAAGGAGGGCAGGAGTCCAAGATAGTCCAAGTCAAGTAGCGATACCGCATTCGGGTGTCCTCAGAAACTTCTTTTCTGGCATGCCTTTTTGTGCTGTTTGTTCAGCGAACCTGTCCTCGTTGGCATCTGTTTGATCCTCGATCTTAAATGGCGGGGTGGAGCTAGAATTCCTTGGTGCGCAAACTGCCTGGTGCAAATGGGCCAGAAGGCTGTCGTGGCCGAGATGCAAAACTTGGAGCTCGTCTGCCACAATCTCAATGTCACCAGTCCTTTTGCACTAAGAAGGCTCAATTGTCTAAAGCAAGTGCTACTGAGAAGATCACACAGTTTAGGTTGCAAACGCTCTTTCTGCATTCTTCTTGATGCGCTCCACCACCTGAAGTAGCACTTGGCCTAGACTGAGAAGTCAACAGTGTATCTGAGCCGGAAGCCTTTCCAGTCACCTCCAGGACATACACTCCCGTAGAAAGTGTCGGTAGCAACCGCTCTTCCAGTCTTCCACGCCTTCACCACAAACTCACGGCCAAGATTTCGGGCTTGCTCGTAGCGCTGGAGTCCGGCTTCGTCTGCTCCATCCTAGCAATCACAATTCTCACAGTTCCCGGTTCCACCGCCTGCTGGCCATATGTTTGCATCCGAGATGCTTTGGGAAACACGACCTGCCAAGTCCGCTTGTTCATGTACACATGATCTCAGGCCAAGGGCTCTTAGCTACGTATGCCAGAGGCTGTGCAGGTTTTGGTCATCTACCATGCAGCAAGTTCGCGCAGGCCTGAGTAATACCATAGCGGTCACGAAGGTCTACGAAAGCGAAGTGGTTCATGTCCCGAGACATCTGAACCCAGCCGCAAACAGTAACCTTGTAGTCCACATGGTCTATCCTGCGCAGTGCAGTCGGGATTCATGGGCATTAGAAGGACTTTATGCTGTCTTCGCAACTGCCACAGAAAGTATTAAGTCGGCCAAGCCACCGAAGCTCTCCGCAACTATGCGTGCGGTGACCGGTCTGCAATGCCTTTTCCATTTCTGCCATAGGAAAGCCCCGCAACCATCAGTAGCTCCAGCTAGGTCTGCTTGGGCCCAAAGATAGTTTGACACAGGCCACGCAAATAGCAGATGCATCCAGTCCTTGCACATCCATTACCTCTCTACACTGCTCTCTGCATGGCTACGACAACAAGTATCAAGTGACCTGAAGGCCGTGAAGACCATTCGACAGCAAAGCTAAGATTTCAGCTGAGCTCTGAAAATTGGATGTCACGTGGGAGTTCTCCAGGTTGTTTCAAAGTCTCGCAGCCAAGTGATGCGAGCATCCTTCCCAGAGGCAAACCCTTCAAAGAAGGGTTGTGAATGCTCCAAGCTGAAACTCAAGAGCTGAAATCAAAGCACACCCATGCATGGATCTGGGGTCTGCAGTGAAATTCGCATGCAGGGTCCATCTACGTCATCTTTCTTTGAAGGAAGCAGTCCTCCTTCGGATCGGCATTCAAGACCAGTGTCTATGATAGCTTGAACTCGTCTGCCACCAGTCCGGTCAAGGTTGAGGCACCTTTGAACCAGCTAGAGTTGCTTCTTTAAGATACATCCTCATGCTGGTTTGGCCCATCTCACCTCCAGGCCACACCTCACAATGGTCAATACGAGGCCGCGAGCTCGGTATCCTTCAAACTGCTCGAATCGAGCAGCAAAGCCTGGAGGGCTTTGAGCTTTGAAGCTTCTGCCAGCTTCCAACCACGCCCATGACGTAAGGCATCGGCTTATTTCCACATCTTCTGGCAGAAACCTTGCAGACAGAGGCACTCAAAGGTGAATGAGCTGACGTCCCCACCTCTGGAGTATCTTCGTGGCAATCGCTGCCTCCTTGCAGGCCTTGGCATGCACAAGTCAAGTCTCTGCAATTTCCTCCAGGACTCACAGTCTGTGGCAGAAGGTCTCGTAAAGTGCCACGGAGGGACGCTCTTCCCAGCCATTTTCAACTCCAAGCAGGGATAACTCTCACCTCCGTCTTCACCAAGAAGCCGAGCTCGCAAAGCAGCCTCGCACTGCGATGCTTCAAGCTGAAGCTTCAAAGCTTACTGCCTTTAATCGAGCGACAGCCAGCTTTGAACCGTGGGTCTTCCGGCTTACCAAGACGGATCTGACATCCTTCCACATGTCTGCGCAACTTTTATGACTCAGACGCTTCCATACCGCGGTGGCCTGTGGAAGCCATTGCCTTCGGACAGCTGACTTCCAGATCAACACACGGCAAGGATCCTCCTGACGTTTCGCCAAGCCTACTGAATACATCTAGCCGTATCTAAACGCATGCAAGACCGCCCAACACACGCAACTTGCGTCCTCGAGGATATACGACCTAGGTTGATGCTGCCCGTATGCCAAGAAACAGCAAGCAAAGGAACACAACAGAGCAATCCTTGGCAGTTAAGTGGCGCCGCTGCTTGAAGGTCTGTCGGCAAATGAGCCTTGATTGTGCGGAATTAAGATATTCAGCATTTCAACCCCTGCTGCGGCGACGCAAAGAAAAGAACCGGAAGAGCCAAGTTACCAAAGTCGGCAGCACGTCAGCCATAGTCGAATCCTCAAACCCGCCGCTGACATGTTGGGACAATGATCAAATGCACAGGCCAAGGCATTTGCCAGCTCAACCCGCTGCTTGTCTAGCAGTTGCTGTGAGACCCAAGCTGCAGCATCCTGGAAGAAGCGTAGAAAAGCTATGCTGAAGCTGGTTTCCTGGCTCTGTGCAATGGCCTGGGGTTTGGGATATCGCGGTTCGATCGCTGGCGGCGGTGGCAGGGCAGCCACAGCAGCTGCTGCAGCCTTGCAGTTCAAACGAGCCATGTCTTCCTGATGCTCCGTATGAAAGTCATGGCAAAAGCAATATGCATCAGTTATCGCTGAGTCTACTGCTGAAAGCTCTGCTGCGTTTGCTTGTTCGGCGACACCTGGTGAAATGTATTGGGAGCAACTCGGCCGCTGAAGTTGGTGCACACGTTGCAAAGCCGTCTGCCTGCCTGAGAATTGCAATGGAACATCCTCCTGCGCGGCTGAATGCACATGTTGCACCAAGGTCAGGGTGGGATCTGTTGGCTTGAGGTGCATGGCCAATGGTACTGAGAATGGAAATGCCACAGACGCTCACACCTGCTTTGAAGCACATGGGAAAGGTGTTCGATCCATGAGTGACGCCACGCACCGCCCTAAGCATATCTTTCCGCAGCCTCTCGCCCTAGTACTCCCCACGATCACGCTGCCCGCTGTCGCGACTCTACTGTTTGACAATCATATCTTGTGCGCCACCACCGCTCTGTGATGGCTGCTGTGATGCTCATGCTGCCTTCCTTCAAGAATCTGATTTGTTGTTGCCCGATCGAATGCGCAACGCACGAAAAGTGTTCTGACTGGTGCCTCCAAGCCGTACACCCGCACGTTGGCTCTAAAGCCTGACTCCGCTTCAAATGTTTCGTAGACCTTGGCCAGGCAATCAGAACATCTTCAAGGCCCAATCCAGTAGATAAACGGCCGAAAAGCAATGTCTCCGCCGAGAAGTGGTCGGCGCAACGTCTTCGAAACCAAGTTGTTGAGCTTCACCTCTTTCCGTGATGTGCGGCCAAACCCCAATCACTTGCCAACAGCTCAGAGCCTTGCCTTGGCATTGATCGGTCCTGCCAGGAGAAATCTGAAACGCTGACTGGCCATCATGCACAACAGCGCTCAAAAGAGGCACAGGAAGGTTAGCAAACGGAAGTCATACAAAAAACTTCTGCTGCTCTAGATGTGCTACGGTCACTGTCATCATGAAGCCAAAGCACGGCCTCAAACTATCTCTCCGAAATTTGATATGTACAGCCTCATCCCGTCTTCTGATTCTGTCATCCCGACCGAGGCCTCTACGATTTGCTCTTGGAGAAAAAACCGGCAATGCTGCCTTCAAAGAATTCAGCCAAATTCTGCATGAACGTCAAGGCTATGGATTACACCATGTAGCTATGCCTTCTCTCGTGGCGTGCGATGTGCAGAAGAGGCGAAAGCATCATCCGAGAAGTACCTTTGAGAAGGCTGGTCCAGCAACCATGCAACTACTCAGGCAACAATCTTTGGTGTCAACCTCGGCTTAAACATGTGAGGAAACGCAGGAGATGCGATCTGCAGGAAATTTACATGGATAATCAGGAGGCTTTTCGTAGGAACAGAAGAGCAAGGAGGCCTCGATCCGGCTTGATTGTAATAAGAACAGTAATAACAATACTAGTGTCGATTGTAATAATAAGAACAATAGTAAGAAGATATCTTGTAGCAAGGGACATCCGGGATCTTCGGAACACCAGGGGTATATATAGGGAATATATAGGGATTATTATAGACTATGATAGGGTATATCTGAGGATTATACACGCGGTACTATAAAACTTGCTTCTTATTTCCGCGCAACTTTGCTCTACAACTATGACTGTGGACCGGGCAGGCTTGCCGCGCCCAGAGGCTCCAGAAATTGTTGGGGTGTTTACATGGCTCCGATTGCTGGAAAACATCAATTGAAACTTGAAAAAACAAGCTACAAGATTGACCCCCAAGGAACGCTAGTAACACTAATCCCACTCTCTAAACGAAACCCTAAACGATGAACCACCCAAAAACCCTTAACCTACAACACAATTTGAACTTGCAGGTATTCAGGGATGTGAAGTTCAGATTTCCCTCGTTAAAGGCTTCAAAACATTAACCCCTCAGAACGACATGACACCCTCAAACCCCATGTGATTGTAACAAGCCCCAACCACCCTAAACAACTGGAAAATCCTAAGCATCTAAATCCTAAACAGCCCCAAAACCCCAAACCCCTAAACCCTAAAACCTAACCAGCCTCACACCCTAAACAAGCCCCAACCCACGAACCCTCAACAACCCAAAGCCCCGAACCCTCAACAACCCCGAACCCTTGAGCCTCAACAACCCCAAACTCCAAACCCAAACACCCTGAACCTCCTGCACCCCAGCCCAAAGCTAAACTGTAAACGACCCCAATCCCGAGACAGCTTCAACACCAAACCCTAAACAACCCAAGCCCAAAAACCACCCCAAGCTTTGAGCATTGAGCATATCTAAACACTTAGCCTCAACAACCTCGAACCCTAAACTCTAAAGCAACTCCATGCCTCTATGCCCTAAACCCTCCACAGTTCCAAACCCCAAAAAATGAGAACTGAACATGTTCACCCATGAGCCCAACAAGTACACTGATTTATGGGGTTCAGTACGCTGAGATCATACAAGACCTTGGAAGTTACGCCCTAAAGCCCTAACTAATGGCAACGAAAAGCCCAAACTCTAGCCCCGAAACGACCCCAAACCCTCAAAAACCCGAAACCCTACGTCCTTACAACCTCAAGCTCTCAAGCCTGAACAACAGTGAACCGTGGACAACCCGCAACACTGAACCCTCAAGAACCCCAAACCATAGACTCCCAAGCGCTGATGAACTGTCCCCTATGACAGGCAGCCAGCCACCGTGTAACGGGCAATCAGCCACCATGGTGGAAACAAAAATGATTGAATTTTAGGCTCTGGAGTTTAGGATTTTGATGTTTTTGACGCTCAGCTCGTTTTTCGCAACGCCCTTTTGCCCACAGCCCAGGCTTCGGTAAAGCCCGCAAGGCAAGCACAATTGGAGCTTCTAATGAACACAAAACGAGATGCTCAACCTCTAAGAGAAGTCAAGGAGCACATCCCACAATGCTGGCATGGGCGGCCCCAGAATGGCACTTTGTGGCCCAACCCCAAATTTGGGTTCCAGAGCCTAAGAGCCTCCCTATGGATTTCCCTCTATTTTGTGCATTTTAGGTTTAGCTAAACTTGCCCTTTTTGCTGCTCAGCATGGTTTAAATAAACAGGCAAACAACAATCAATTTACTTAAAGTCACAGGTAAAAACGGTCAATTTACTTGAGCCTAGCTTTGCAAATGACATGATCTACCGCTATAGCTATTGCGCAAAACACAAACACTGGATCCCAGATTTGAGTGGGTTGAACCATCTCAGCAAACCAGACGGTTTCAGCATGGTTTAAGTAATTTGGTGCAAGCGATCAATTTACTGAAACCTCGTGCTACTAGTGCAATGATCTGCCATTATGGCACTTGCTAAAAACATAATTCTGCGCTGGCGGCTCAGGGCGAAGCCTCTAAAATGTAGGGTTTAGTGGGTCTGGATGTAGGGTTTAGGGGGTTGGGATTTAAGGTCTAATTGTGGTTTTTGGATTTAGGGTTTACGGTTTGTTCAAGGGTCACTGGGTTTAGGGGTTTTGGATTTAAGGTCTAGGGTTTTTTGGGTTAAAGGGTTTTGGTGTTTTGGGTTTAGACTTAAATGATTTTGGATTTAGAGTTTAGGTTTTAAGGGTTTTGGTTTAAGGTTTACGTAGGGTTAGAGATTTTGGATTTAGGGTTTAGGGTTTAGGGATCTTGGATTTAAGGTTTAGGGTTTTGAGATTTTGGATTTAAGGTTCAGGGTTTAGCGATTTTAGATTTAGGGTTTACGGGTTTTGGGGGGTTTTAGATTTAGGGCTTAGGGTTGAGTGGTTTTGGATCTAGGGTTTGAGGGCTTTGGGGTTTTGGGTTTAGACTTTAATGATTTTGGTAGAGATTTTGGATTTAGGGTTTAGGGTTTAGGGATCTTGGATTTCAGATTTAAGGTTTTGAGATTTTGGATTTAAGGGTCAGAGTTTAGCGATTTTAGATTTAGGGTTTACGAGTTTTGGGGGTTTTGGATTTAGGGTTTAGGGTTGAGTGGTTTTGGATTTGGGGTTTAGGGTTTAGGGGTCTTGGATTTAGGGTTTAGGAGTTTTGTAAGGTTTAATGGTTTTTGATTTAGGATTTAGTGTTTAGAGGGTTTGGATTTAAGGTTTAGGATTGAGGGGTCTTGGATTTAGGGTTTAGGGGTTTAGGGGTTTTGGATTTAAGGTTTAGGGTTTAGGGGTTTTGGATTTAGGGCTTAGGGTTTAGGGGGTTTCGATTTA